AAAACGCATAACCTAATTTACTTTTAATCGACTTTTATCCTCTGACACTTCCGAATCTTGTTACCGAACTGAGTATGTTTCAATATCGGTCAAGTTTTTCAGAGTAGTTAAAAGAAACAGTGCGTGAAGTAAGTTATTTATATTATGCAAACTGAAACTTTCACTTTCGAAATGCATTGCATAAAACCATCATCGATTATTTAACAGGATTAAGCAGACGTCACTGAAAAAAAAGAGTTTATTTAGTTGTTTTTTAAAGCGTCGTTTTACTAAATGTGTTAAGCCTAACCACTAAAATATTTAAGATTCGATTTAAGATTTTTTTACAATATAATAAAATTAGTTTTTTAAAGCGTTAAACTTAAACGATATTACCAACCCAAGATAAGAACATATAACATCATTATAAGCTAACTCTGAAAGTAGATAGATAGATACTTTATGTACTTCACACTAGAGCTGCACAATGAGCTAGTAGCGACTGCTTGGAAACATCCTATAGGACAATCCGGAGACATGCCATCACAATTTCGAGGGGATCATTTGTGATCCCACTTCCTCAATATAGACATGGATCTGAAGACGAAGGAAATTTTCTCCAGATCCCTGTACCCATGGCACTGCTCAGATGATAGCAATGGTCTATGGTACCAGGGCTAAAGAGAACAGGGCTCTTTAGCCCTGTATGGTACTCGATCGACCATAGAACTTTTGATTCCACAGATTTTGAGAATACGAATATCGCTTGTAATAGGTGGATTTTAGCAGATTCAAGGATTGAACCCCGGTCCATCCGTACGGAAGACCGATTCTCTAACCACTGGACTACCTCGGCCCTAAATCTGAAGCAAAAATTGAAATAACTACAGTACCTGGGAGTTATTAAACCTACCTTTACCTGAAAAAAAAAGCTCCGGGGAATACATTGGTGGAATCTTTCACTGAGAAATACATTGAAATGATTTAAATATTTAATGCTATTATTGTATACTAGATACATTAGAAAATGGGACAATTTCATTCTACGTTCTATTAAATATCTGTGTGCCGTCCTTTGTAAGTGCTAAGGTTTTTCAATGCCTTGCGAAGTCGAACCTGTGAATTTTTTTTTTATTCCGGCACAATATCTGCCTTGTCTGCGTGTGTTGTTTCAGTAAAACTATTGCATGTATTGGCACAAACTTTCCGAACAGCCCGACAGTTTGATTACGCAAACTAAAAAGGTGGTTCTAAGTGATTAATTAGCCACTTAAGTGACTCAGTTTAACTGTCAAGTTCAAAAATAATTTAATTTAACAATGGTTTATCAGCTGCTCTTTTAAATGAGCCCACAAGCTTGCTTACAGATTATGTATGAAATTTATAAAAGGAAGGTATCCGTTATTCCATCAAAAGCTGAAAAGCTTGGGGTAACGGGTTCAATTCCCACGTTCACCCAGGATATATCTTCTCTTTTCTTTGTGACACCTTTCTGAATGAAATAGTTTATATGTTTCAAATTGACGAGGATTTTGCTTCGTTTTTTATATTCAACATATAAACTTAATGATCCATGTCTGTATGAAGTAATCATATCAAAAATTTTGATATCGTGATCGTGTCGAACTTATAACTTCAGCAGCGTCATTTCATAGAGAATACAAGCTAGTCACACTCCTACTCATACATATCCAACTCAAAATGCTAAACAAAACATCCATAACAATATTTTTTCCTCTCTTATTAATGTTTTTATGGTAAGTTTCTTCGTCCAAAATTCAGGTAATGTTTTTTCGTATTATTTTTTTACCGTAAATTTTATTCGTGCAATTTAGCTTACTTTTTAACTAAATTATAATGTACTAAAATAAGTCAAAAAATTTTAAGATATGACAAAATATAAATTTTTGAGGGAATAATTATATAGCTATTTACTTAACTTCGTTCAGAAATTTACATTTCATGGTATGCATGTTTCATATCAACTAAGCGTAAAAATTGGCTTTTGCTTCCATTGATTTGAATATTTTTATTCTGAATTTTATTTAAATTACAATGTTTCATAAAAAGCATATTAGGGTTTATTTACTTATTCTAGAAACACTTTGGCATTAAATTTTCTTTTCAAGTTTATTTTTTTTTTGCACCATTTTTACGATGATTTCTCATGCGTCAATGTTCGATCCATCTTTCAAAGAAAACGTGAGTAAAGAGTGAAAATAATCACTCACTCGAGTTAGTTTCATTGCATTTGTGAATATATGCTTCAAATGAGATTTTTTATTATTATTACCTTAGTTATCCAAAACAAACATTTTTCCAATTGGAATATATTTCCTAATGTATTTACTTTAGTTGCGTCCGTTATTTTTAGATTTGTGTTGATTTTAAATATAAATATACGCAATATACTCCGAATAAAAAATAATTGAACTAAAGTATAGAATAACTTGTATTTATGTTATGAAAATTTATTTCTCAAATAAGCACACACTTTATAACGTAGTTTTGATCATCTCAACCATTTCGAAATTTTGTGTCAAAAATGTTCAACCGTCGAACGCCTCGTGCATAATGACTTAAATGTTGAGATTTATCAATCTAAACGTGTTCAAATTCTCCATATTTTGAAAAGCAGATTAGATTTATTGGTACACACATAGATAATTTATATAAATATAAAATTCGGTAAAATTGAATGAATATAAAAAAGCTGTTCATATAAAACTGAAATCCAAAATTGAATTGTTCATTATAACTGAAATCCTAATTAAGTTGATTACAGACGAAGTTATTAAACTTAGAAAGCTAAAAAGATTTATTTTGTTTTTTCAAGTACTGCGTGAACTCGGTAATTTGAAACACAGTGGACAATTTAAAAACCATGTTTTTCTTTCTCCCCTACACACAATTTCGGATCTTTAAAATTGGACGGAGTCGGAAAAGAGACCTTTAATATTGATTGTCTGATTGCAATCAAAATTGTCTTTGAAAATTATAAGAGTAATCAAGTTGTTTACTCTGCATTGAAAAAAATAAGTATTCAAAAGTTAACTACATTGAACAGATTATTGAAATTTGTCGCAAAATTTTTGATAAGTATTTATTTAATTAGAAAATTGATAAGTCTTATCGGTTGGATTTATGTAGGTTTAATCTTTTTGAGAAAGTTCTTTTTAATGGTTTAGATTTTTATGGACAAATTATTAGAACTCCACAAGGTAATTCCTTTTCTGGTGCTTTTGCTAATATTTTCTTGCATTTTTTTTGAAGATAAATTTCTTGAGTATAATGAATTTAAAGCTTTTAGATATATTAATGATTTGATTTTGTTAAATTGTGATAACTTTAATTTTATTTATAGTATTTATCCTAAAATTTGTTTTTGAAGAAAACTAATGAGAATTGCTTAAATGTTGAATATTTAGATTTTAAAATTGATATTGTTGATAAAATAATCAAAATTGGTGTTTTTGATAAACGGAAAGCTTTTAAATTTGAAGTTATTTTTTTTCTGCAACTGTAATACTAATCTGTGTAATAAAATTTTTAAAAATTTAGTTTTTTCATAACTGGTTAGGATTAAAAATATTTGCAATGACGTTGAAAGTTTTCAGGAGGCTGTGAATAATTTTTTGAATAATTTGAGTAATAATGAGTTTCCTTTTAACTTTTGTAAGGCTAATTTTTAAATTAAGAAAATTATTGAAGAATACTAGGTTTTTATTTCTTTTAACAGGGCGCAATTCAAGTCTTAACTGAGCAGCCCCAGTTAAGCGTTATATTAATTTGTTACGTTATACAGAACCTTCGGGGTACTGAGAGAGTTACTTTTGGCATTTAATTTTGCCTCTCTCTCAATAGAAAAGGTTTTGTTTCATGGCTTCCGAGGCCGGTACCCCCTGAAGATGTTGGCTTCGGTGGTCATATTTTTATTTCATTTTCTTTATTCCTATATTTATTCTTTCTTTTGAAAATCCTGCTGCTTTTAACCGTGTTTCTTTCAAAGATAGTTTTGTCAATTTAGAATTAAATATTTTGTATTCTTTTACTACTCAGTGAGAAGAATCATTCACGAAAATATGGGTAGTTTTTCCCAAATTTCTTCCAAATAAAGAACTTTTGCAATTGCCTATGAGTTTGTGAGGTAAAATTGATTGTGCTTGACTAAAAGCAATTTTTTGTATTTTCTATCCTCTTTATAGCACTAAATTTTGTATTAATCATAATTGATCTAGATGCATATTTTGAATTATTTATAATGTTAAAGTAAATTTAAAATAAATTGCGTTCGATGTACACTTCTAAGCCGTAATTTTTACAATAAATTTTTCCAGAAGCAATTCCAACATTTTTTTTTCAGAAACTATTTTAGTTGTCTACGAATTTCATGGTAAATTAGTGATATCACTTCCTTTTGACTTAAAATAAGAAAATAAATACATAAATAAAAATAAATGCAAAATTCTATACTTTATGATATCAAGCCGCATTACGAGCATCAAATTACTATGAACTTCCATTGTATTCTAGACCAGGGTACTATATGATGACTTCTACGTCGTAAAAACAATGGGATTCATTTTTAGGGAAAAAAAACAAACATTCCTTTTACTACGATAGTAACACGTACTAAGAAAATAGAAGACGGTTCATCATAAATGCTTTTTTAGAACACGAAATTCGTGTTTTTGCATTTCATTTTTTTGGAAATAATCATTCTCACGCGATAGCTGTATCAGAAAATTTCAGACGATTTGGTCAACTTGTTTTATTTCCTCTTTAGTTTCTAAGTAAAAAAAAAAATCGTTTGCAAAAGAATTATTCACTCTTACGCCATTTTCCTTTTTTTTAATGGCTTGATGTTTCAAGAGTTCGTCATATGATTTAAACTGAAAATAAAATTTTAAAAAACGGAGAAAGTTCACTCAAAGGGGGTTGACCCTTTTAGTCTTTGAAGTGGGGGCAGGAAAGGGCAGTGGGGAGGGAAACAGGTTGAATAAGCTTCATGGCGGCTTGCCTCTGACAATCACAATCTCGGCGGTCGCCTAGCAAGAAGGAAGCAGTGAAAGCGTCCGCCGAACTAAAAAGAGATAAAGTAACTAGCCGGAATAAATAAAAAGAAGTTACGGTCACAAATAACGGAATGTCAACTAGCGTTGGACATAGTCAACTCACTCTTACTTCGGAACCGGAGAAATTTCGGTAGGTTTTTATTATTTTTTTATTTCCGATAAATTAAAATTAATTTTGTTATTTGTTGACTTCATTTCAATGTCGTTTGTGTGTATTTATTTAATTTTATAACCGCCACCAATTTTAATTTTTATAGGAAAATAATTTATTTTAATTAATGTACCATTGATTTTTTTTTATAAAAAATAGTAATTCAATTTTTGAATGGTGCAAACTATACAGTTCGCTCAGAAAGTCATAGTAATGATGACAGTTTTAGAATTTTCTTAGTTTCCATATTTTTGTTACGCATGCATTTAATTTCCATACTATTGTTAAATTAAAGAGTAACATTACAAGTTCAATTGTATGCATGGGTTAAAACGGCTTTGTGTGCTGATAAATTCAGCAATCAGAAAATAAATTTTAAAATCATGTTCATTATCTAAATTAAATACATAAAACTACCAAAATATTTATACACATTTGTTTTATTTTAAATAGTGTTAAAAGTTAGAAAGTTGAAATTTTATAGATATTAGTTATCATTACGGGAAAAGATTTTTTTCTTATAAAATTATTCAAAGTTGAGAAAATAATGAAATTTATAGCTTAACATAGTAACTGCTACATAATGAGTAAATTATTTCTATTTTTTTCTTTTTCCTCATCGTTTCATAACGAATTTTTCTTAAGCGCATTTTAAAATTAGCAATAAGCAAATCAATTAATTTTTTTTTTTTTGGTCAATGAACGATATTAGCTTTTATGAATATAATTCTCGTTAACATTATTATGTAATCATGTTTTGACATAGTAATTAAAAAGGGGAACTTGTTTGAAATCAAATCTGCTCGAATTTGGCGAAGAGTTCAATCTTAGCAGGGAAAAAAAGTTAATCTTTCAAACTGACCAATTTTGAAGTAAATAAACACAATGATTATTTAATTATTTAATTGTGGGTTTATTTTTCATCTTTTCATCGACATTTAATTTTTTTAGTGATGTTAAAAATTCTGCTGATTTATATCGGGTCCCAATTTTTGCATAAAAAAAATTTCAAGGAAAATTACTGTATTAATATTGTATGGTAATGACATTTTTGGTCAAAAAAAGAAAACCATAATTTTGGTAATTAAAACCAAAATATACGGTATTTCAACCATTCGTTTGTTAATTTTCCTTTCATATGGTAAAGGTTACAGGAAATTCTACTGTTCAAAATTATAGTCCTTATTACCAGATATAAAATAGACAAGTAAATTTTATTGACTAAATACTTTTTATACCATGCTCTAAGGTACCGTGATAAAAATTTCAAATTTTACCACATTTTCCAAATTTCATCACATAATATAAAACCATATATTATTGTTAATTTGTGCAAAAATTTTTACCAAAGCATTTCGGTAAAAATCACAGAACTTTTTGGTGTTCCCATAGAGCCGGAAAACTGGTAAATTTTACCATATTTTGGTAGTTTTCATCATACTTTTTTTGTTCAGTGTATAATTTGATTGTTATAAGTTTGAAAGATAGATGAGAAAATTTTGCTAGAGTTATTAATGCAAGTTTTTAGAATCTTCACTAGTTCTCCGTACATTACTGTTAGGAGTTGTGGAGGTTAACCACGATATTCTTAAAATTTGCCGCAACATTAATATTGTGGTTTGTTGTACCATATTATTGTAATTCTTAATCTTGCTTATATTATAACCAGAACGGAGAACTATAACTTTCCATCAACTCGAACTGAAACGTATTTCACTTTTCTTATATTGCGGTCAGTTTGTCCTGCTTATAAGATACCAACATTGAAATCCAATATAGAACAGAGTTTTTGGAGTGTTATAGTCAAGATCAAAACGAGGCGAATTTGTCTTCTTTTTTTTTATAGTGTTGAGTTTACTGCACCTGTGAACAATATTTAATTTTATGAAGCAAAATCTTTGATATTCTTTTGTTCGAACAGTATTTCTGTCAGACAGTGACTAGAATAATAATGAATTTATGAATTTATCTCGATAAGAAATAATTGAATCAAATAGTTGTTCCTACACTTGGGAAAGACAATTATTACAACAGATATGTAAAAAAAAAAAATCTTTATAAATATTGTTATTAAATGTCAATAACTAAAAATCTACATTTTCATGTATTCCATAGAGTTTAAATATAAATTACCCTTCTTAAACTTGTGTTATTGTGAAACAAGATTGACTTTTTAAGGGGGGAAATATTGTGAAAGAATGATTTTCCATCAATCAATCAAAAAAATTTTCAAGAAAATAAAGTGGAACGATGTTTTTTCTTTATCTATTGATGATTTTCCATAAAACTAATGCATGGTTTTTCATCCTTTTATTATACTCGTATAGAAAAAAGTCAAAAATCTATAAATTAATTTTATTACCTTTTTTTATCGCCTTATCTAAGAAATGATCATGATAAAATTATTTTTCTTGCTACTGGTTTTACTAAATTTATATTTTCAATAAAATATTCGCAAGCATTATTACTTTTTAACTTTTAACAAATTATGCATTTCTGCCTTTGAATACATTACTATTGCACCGAAAACAAGATAATAAAATCGCGTCAATTACTTACTAACAAACTTTTAACCTAAACACAATAGACTTACGTGAAAATTACTCTCAAATATGTTTCTTCGAAGTAGTTTGTAGTTTTAAATTTAAATTTTATCAAGATTTCAACTGAAAAATAAGATTTTGTTCTTAGTTTCTTTGAAAGGAAGGTTTATAATGAAAATAGACACTTTCGAAGAAATACTGATTACTTATCGTTATTTAAATATAGTAATGTAATTGCTCTAACCTGCTGTGTAGCATTAGACTATATATTGCGTTAAATATATTATTGACGTTACTATTGCAGCATTTATCACATCATAATAAATATTTAGCACTATATAACTTATTTCACTAACAATCCGTTTATATATGTTCCATTCTCTCTACGATTAATTTGTTTTTCCCTCTTAACTAGATCATTGTCGGGCAAAAGAAAATTCTACGCAAGCGTCAAAAAATTCAACACTAAAATTTTTATATATTTGGCATCCCTGTATGATAAATTATGAATTGAAAAAACATTTTTTCTTCAAAAATAAAATTTGTTTTATCAATTTTCCGAGATTCTATTCTAGCGTTCATAACATTAGCAATAGAAAAAAAAAAGTTGTCAAGCTACTTTTCTCGGAATCTATTGTGAAGCACTTTGTTGTTTTTTCAATTTCTCCGCAGAACAGTTCTTTAAATACTGTATTTAGTTGTATGTTTAATATCGTAAGAGTCTTATTAAGTTTAATACTTACATATTACGCTCAACATCTAGTTACTTATTACGGTAAATCTATATTAACTTTCGATTAGGTAATTGTTGCATCTGTATTTACGTCAGTATTCGAGGATATGATTTGCTACGACGAGTCCGATTATTGTTCTTTTAAAGACTACATTCAATCAAAACTGATAATTTGCCTCGGAGTTTTACATAAGACTTATTTCTGATTGGATTATTCTATAGAAAAAAAAAACTATGTATCTTAATTAAACTTGATGTATACAAACTTGAAGTGCAACAGGTGCAAACTTGAAGTATAAAACTATGTAAAAACTATTTTCTTAGAAACATAGAAAATACAATAGAAATAAATTCTTTTTATATGCGTTGAAATTTAATTAAATCTTATGTGTGCTGATTTGAAATATAAAAACATTTTCACTTTTGTAGTTCTATTCATTCTGATCTGTCTTAGCCATAAAAAAAATTTTCATTTTCAAATATAATTTCTCTAATTCTTTGAAGTTAGATCAGAGGAAGAAAATCTGTTTTGAAACCGAAACACCTAACTATCAGTATATTACGTAATTTGATGCCGGATTTTTTTTCTTTTATCTACATACCTTATAAAATGCCAACTTAATTGAAAGACTAATAATTATTTTCATTTTGTTGTGTTCAAAAGTTGTGAAATTTTCAAGATTCTGGTGCTCGAGAGTAAAAACACTATTTTCCATGGAAATTATTCATCTAGTATTGTGTATCGTGTTATACCAGGAAAATGAATTGGATGACAAGCACGTGTTTTATTGATTTATTGCTTCAGCTGTTTATGAACAATTGTACTAAATCAAGCGACATGAAGGAAGAATGAATTAGCTTCTCTATTCATAAATGTTGAGTAGGTGAAAAAAAAGTTTTTTTTTTTTCTTATTTTGAATCATGAAAGTTATCATTTCTAAGCAAAAGCATAACCTTATTTTAAAGAAGATTAAAAGATTTTTCAAAGCTAAAATTTAATTTTTCTCGTCACGAGTAAATAGAAAAGTATAATCAAACTGGCTTTATTTTTAAAGTACGCTGTATTTCCGGAATTTTCCCGTACATTTAACGGTTTAAAGCCGTTTTGTCCACAAAGTTTTTCTCAGTCTTCCACCTTAATCACAAATGGATTAAAACTGACAGCTAAAGTTCTAGTTTTTACAATGCAGTTTTGCATTCCGTAATATAACTTTACTCCTTCTTCAATCATATTGCGATTATTTTCTTTACTTGCACTTTTTTCTTTAACAATTACTTTATAGTTTTAAAGATATTACAAATAAATCTGTGATTCGACTTTACTGACACAACATTGAAACGAAATTCTCACTATCACAATTTCTTCATAATAAAATACTTTTGTCGTAGTGATTCAAGGGACAGAGCGTGGGCCTCTCAATGAAATAATCCAGGTTCGAAACCTAGTGTTAACTTGTCAATACCAACTCGACCGACGTAAAACAATCACATTTGCTGCGACTACAAATATGCTTCATAACTTTCGCAGGGAAAACGATGGCAATGGCAAATGTCTGTTGAGACAACGGATTTACTGTATTTAGTTG